CTTATCTTTTATGCAAATATGTTACGTTACTGCTTTTCAAGTGTGACAAGTGGCAAAATTGATGCTTCAGGAGCTTTTCTGTGAACAACACAAATGTTCTTCATAAAAGTGCTAAATGTTTTGTTTTATATCTGAATTAATAGTCCTCACAGTTAGTACAGTACTAGCTAATTTTGTTACGATCTGTATATAAGAATTCAATAAAAAAATTAAGAAAATAATGCTTTACTTTGCATATTTTTGAAACATTCAAAAAGGTCTGATAAGCAGAACATTTTAAATTAGTTATTACTGAATGATTACAATAAAATTTTCAAGAAATATATTTCCTTTCTCATGTAACAGTATGGTTCTTCAGCGTAAATTAATTTTGATTGATTTCCACTGCTGCACAACTAAACGTTATGCACAAAACAATTAGGAAAATAATCATTTATCTTTATTTTATAGCCTGGCATTTCTTTTAATTGAGAATTAATGGAACGAGCAATATTGCTGTTTCTTTATTGCGAAACGACAATAGAACGAAATATTGAATGCAATTATCCAAACAATTTGCAAGGCGCTTCTGTTTGAAAACAGAACTATTTAATGTATTTATAAAACATTCTTTACCAAAACTAAGTAAATGATTCAGGCAACACAATATTGAGTGTTTGAATACAAAATAATAACAAAGTACAATTACTGAACCAAAACATGACAAACGGAAATGATAGAAAAGTCACAGAGGATGGAGCATGGGAATCCAGCTCATTTAAATAAACAAGCAAAGAATGGCAACTTGAAAGTGTATCATATTACCCAAATATCAAAGAGAAGGGACAGATATATATTAGAAAGCAAGATATGGGAACAAAGGAATATATGCATCAACTATCTGAGAGAACAAAATACTGTTCACGACAATATGCACGATGAGAAAACTTAAAAAAAAACTTAAAATAAAAAAATTAAAATGTCACTAAAGAAACAATAGTATAACTGAGAAAGTCATGAACGAAACCCATCTACAGACCATGAAAGTACTTTAACTAAGCATACACAAAGATTTTATGAGGCAAAGGGTTACATGATTATCAAAACAATACGTAATTGTAAACGTCTTTTGGTACATATAAGGAGCTAAATGGATAACAAAGAGCAAAGTTTGTAACAAACGAAATAATTATTAGTTAAAACAAAAGAAAACATGTTGTGAATTGTTTGATTACGGAATAAAATGAATATATTATCATAATTTACCTCTGTTGTATGCGTAAGATAGTTTAAATTTGATATATAATCGACACTATTCTATCTTATTGCAAATAACTTTCTCACGCTTAAGATGAAATTTGAAGTCTTTAAGCATGCAAACACATATTTGATATAAAATATCAAGGAATACGATGCAGCTGCATGCATTTTAACAACATATTATAATTTGTCAGGTGCGAATTAAATAACCAAGTTGAAGATAGCTTGATAAGAAAATAACTAGAAAGGAAGCAGGAAAACATCTCATCACTTGTTTTTGTTTTTATAAAATGCTGTTTTTATATGTAACCCTCAAATAAAAAATACTGTAATTTCATTTGACGAAAATCAAAAAAATACATGAGAAAGAAAAGGCGATGAAGCTGCAGAATAATTTGATCTTTAAAATCTATAAAATAAAATTACTTTTTAAATGAGGAGAAAATCACAATTTTTTTTATAATAATGGCAAAAATGTAAGGCATCATTAGATCAAGAAAACAGCACAAAATATTTCCATCGAAACTCCGAATTAATAATTCAATTTTTTTCTCTTTTGTGTATTTTATTCTCTTTAGTATCAAATTGTGAAAGTTTTTACCAAATTATTTGTGGTATATGTTTATAAAATTTTATTAACTGACTTGCAAATATTTGTTTTAATTTCTGTTTAGACAGTATTTCTTCTGTACAATAACGGATGTTTTAGTGATAAAATATGTTGACATTTTAGATATTTATAACTACGATATTAACGATCCTGTATGTTGTAATTAAGGTTGTTACCACACTTAAGTGAAATGTTATATACGAGTATGTATATAATTATGCTTCTTAAACAATTTTCAAACATAGAAGAATATGTAAAATATGTACTGCAGATATTTGTTCACATTATATGTAATTATTAAAATATATGCAATCATTTCTTATTGAAAAATTTGAGTTAGATTTTATAGAAAAAAATTCTAATTACCTCCTTTTATTAACATGAAACGTAAATTCGGTAATATCTTTGCAAATAATGCTTTTTGGAACTTACAATATTGATAAACCTTCATTTGAGTATACATGTATTTATGATAGAAAACCATAAAAGTGAGTTACAGTATACTTCTTCTACTGCAAAACATCTTAAATATAACAACAACGAAAGAACACATATTTAAACTTTAGAAAAGCTTAAAGCCGCTTAATTTACTAGTCTGATCGTGTTCCTGTCTTTGCAAAATGTCTTGTTATGTACGCTAGTGCTAGCAGTTCACATGGAAACAGCACTAAGACAATCAAATTGTCTTTGTATGTTTAATAAAATTGATTTCATAAAACAACAACAGTTACAACAAGAAAAATGCAAAAATAAATTATCAATACGTTTGCGCGATTTGTAATGAGACCGATGTTGAGATACAGAAAGTCGCAGGCTCTAGCTTTTCCCCTCTATCTGTTTGTAGAATTTCTACAACACTCGCAAGGAATGTTGCAGATTTTTTCTGTTCTTTGATTTTTTAAAGACAAACCAGGGATAAAAAGAAGAGTCAAACCATGGACGCTACCGGCCACTTGAGTTAAAATATTCTTTGCTGTTATAAAATGTCGAGATTTATACGTTCCCTGCGACACTTTTTTACGATTTCGGCAGAAAATATCGCGGATTTGTAAGTTGTCCGTGATATTTTACTATAAAACGATAAAATTTCTCGCGGATTTAAAATGGACGCAACGGACATAATAATAATGCTGGTTAACATATACTATGTGTTTATTCAACGCGTCAGCACAGACAGAAATTTACAAATATGAAAGTTTGAATGCAAAGTAAGTTTCCGTTAAGGCAATATAAAACATTTGTTGCCGATTAAGCATATAAATTCGAAATAATTCCGATTATAATCATCTTTTCAAATTGTAAACGCATAAACTTTAGAATACATGCAATCAGTAATTTATGCACTATTACCACGCTATAATAAGGTTGGCTGAATAATGTGAATTGTATTTAGTACGTGGACGTTAAATGCATCAGGAATTATAACTGGTAAGTTTACTCTTCTTTATTAATCTATCATTTATAATCTTTTACTTTTAACTCATAATAAGTTTATAAGTTTATTAATAAGTTTATTATTGGAATGTTTTTCAATCATTATTATTTCTTTTTTAAATAACGCAAAGTATTTAAATGTGGTTTTGTTTTATTTTAAATAGCTTTTTTTATACAAGTACACACTATATTTGTTTATGAATTTCGTGTTAACGATTTCGTAAATGATTCGTTCAAAATATTTGACAGTCAAAGACCTTAAGTAATACATGTACAGGTGTGTAATATATCGCAGAACGATATATAGTTTCTCGAACACGAAATATAGCAACGTAGGTATTTCATTGTAATTGATACATTAACGTCATAAAAGTTAATTTGATTAATAACTTTACATGTAACATCATTCATTTGGATGATTGTAAATGACCTTAAACTGAAAATGAGATCTTAATAAGAGTAAGTTATAGCTGTTTTATTCAACTTTATAAAGTTTAACAATAAAATCGAGTTAAACTTCATTTAAAAACGAAATGTCTTTATAAAGCACATCTTTAATTGACACAGCCCTAATAAAATATAAATTTGCTATTGTTCCGCAGGCAGTTTACTTTTACAATACATTGTCTATTTTCATGGAAGTTTTGCTTTTGTTTATTATAGGCAAAACATTTCATTACAACAAGTATCTATATTTAAAAATATACTCGGCCGAAGTTAAACTGGTCAACTTGCATATGTTAGTTCTAAGTTTTCCATGAAAACTAATATAGAAATGTTATCATAGCTTTCATAACAACGACATAATAATTTCTTGTAGGGTTATTAATCTTGAAAAATGGAACATTTTAAGATGTATGTGTTTCTAAACGAACCTGTCGTTTTTCGGTAAGTGCACTCGATGTCTAACACCAAGCAGTCAGTAGGCAATTATTTTATAAATACTTGATTAACATGCAAAAATATATGTAAATTATAAACATTATGTCAATAAAACACATCAATACTCATAAAATATATTAGACCCTTATTGGACATCATAAATTTAGGGTACCTGATAAGTTCTGATATTATTCTCGTTATTTTTGACAAAATATAATTCTCGGATATTGTGTAAATAAAGTTAGTTCTTACGTAAAATAAACTGTTCACTATAAAAAATAATGTGATCTGAATGCAGTATAAAATGTTTTGTTGGAGGGAGTTTGGTTGTTAAACAGATCTTAAATATCTGAGCAATTTAACTAAACGTTAAAGAACTATCCTGTACAACTTATTTATAATGGCAATAACTATCCTTTACATTTAAGTTTAGAACTATTTTAGAATGACAAAAACTATCCTTTTCATTCTATTGTAAAATTGCCAATGAGATTTCCAGAGTTTATAATGACCACTCATCTAATATTCAGTTCTTCCCTGAACATTTTACAGGAAGTCAAACTGTTTTTAGATCAGCCTTCGTCTGGAATAAAACGCTTAATTGGAATAGAGAAAGGAAATGTTGCTATATCAGTGCAATACATTTTTTATAGGTATGAAGTCACTTGCATTTGTAATTTATTTATTTTTCTGATTAGATCTACATGTGTTATCTTTTTTGACATTACGTTTAACATTTTCTTGTATTCTTAACAGAGATTATTACATGTGTTATCTTTTTCACAATACAATTTTTGTGTATCCTTTATAATATCTTATATCTCTTTTTATCATTTCAGATATTAAACTGAATACTTTCTTGAAAAATATCGACATGACGTTCAGCTCTCTGATCAAAATTCACTCTTTATCTGTACAAACCAAGTTTGTAAAACCTCGCCTGAAATTGAATTGTCTTTGGCGTCTTTTACTCATTGGATCATTAACAATTGCCGTGCCAAATATTGGTTATTACTTATTTTCAGATAGTATCATGCAAAATAAAACTAGTAATGCCTTGTCACAAAATGATAGGCTGCACGGATATCCGGGAAACATTGATAACGATCCATATATAAAATCCATGAGAGAAAAATTTCCTCTTAAAATGATATCATACTTATCAAGACTTATAAATGCAACAAATCCGAAATACGCATTAACTATAAATAGTTCATACCTTATAGAGAATCCAAATTTGTGCAAACGTGCTCTAAACCTTTCAGTTCTAGTTGTAGTCAATTCAGCAACAGGAAACTTTGAAAGAAGGCAAGCGATAAGAGCTACTTGGACTAATGATTCCTTTTATCACCACCTAGGCAAGGTCAAGGTAATGTTCCTACTCGGTAAACGTCTCAACAATATTACACAGGAAATGATAAAAAAGGAATTTGAAGCATATGCTGACATTTTACAAGGGGATTTTGTTGATACATACTACAATCTAACACACAAAGGAGTCATGTGTTTCAAATGGATCCAAGAAAACTGCCAAAATCCAAAACATATTCTTAAAGTTGATGACGACATTCTTGTTAATATGTTTCTATACTTTGAACATATTCAAAAGACTCCGAAAATTCGGGATGCTAACGTATACTGTCATTACAGCACTACTGAAATTGTTAGGAGACAGTCAAGCAAGTGGTATATAAGTGACAATCATTTTAGAGGAGTACAATATTATCTCAACTTTTGTCGAGGAAAGTTCGTCAGTATGACAAACAATATAATTCCATCGTTGTTCCTGTCTGCTTCTAAAACACCATTCTTCAAATTGGATGACGTACTTTTATATGGATATGTCATGCATAATATCCCGAGTTTGAAATACGAAACCTTTGCTTGGAAGGAAATGCAGGAGGACAATAGAAATGCTATCCAATGCTACGAAACATTGAAAGACAAATGCCAATTGGTAATAATGCAAGCAAGTGGTATAAATGAAATGTCAGAAACTTGGTCTACACTACTGAAGTATTTCAAAAAATAAAACTAATTTTATTCGTCTCCCATATCATTAATTATATGAAAAAAATTATCAGGTTTTGAATATAAAACTCCATACAAAACATTAATCAATTATAGTTTTGAGTTTTATCTGTCTGGTCTATGTCACTTGTAAGAACCAAAATGCATTTATTTTTATACAAGCTTGCATTTATATCCTGTTCTACCATGTCTTTAAACATTACATAACATTAACAACATCACTGCATTTCAAATTCAAGTTATCTTCAACTCTTCAGACAATCATAATTTACATTTGTATAAGTATGTAATTTAACTTTTGATTTAGTGATTGCCTTGTTTTGACTTTAAGGTCATCATAAATTTGAATATTTAATTATATTAAAATCATCTACCAGCGGACCCTTACAGTACTGATTGTATGTGATGAAACAACTACTTTACACAAGTCTAAATGTCGTTCGACAGTCTATACGTTTTAAATGTATAAAAATAAATTGTATAGCCAACTAAGACATTGTAAAGGCTGATGAAAAAAATGTTATATACATTTCATTGTACATGTTGTAACATTGACTATTTGTATCTTATAAATTCATAGTTATAAATTTCTGTTTCTCCAATCAATGTTTAAGGTACAACAAACAAAGGACACAAACAGAGAAAATTATTAATCTTTATAGTGATGAACATTGTTCAGTTTTAACTTAAAAAAGGTTTTACTATCATGTAACTTTTTTATATTAGAAATAAGTTTTAGTTCGTTTTGCAAGGTATAACACGTTTTTTTCATTTTACTTTAGTAAAAATGTTTTGATTAGTTGACAGATTTGTTTCGCTAAGAATACAATGTATGCATGTATTTGTTCTATTCATTTATAGGGAATTTAATAACTGCTGCACGTTCTTACCATAAATAACACATCAAACATATGTAAATATGTTATATTTATATTACATCATACAGACGAATAGCGTGCACTTTACATGAGTTTTACTGCATCAATGTCATTCATTGTCAAGTAAAGAACATATATTAAACTTAAGTACGTACAATTTACGTTTCGATTTCGTAATAATTGTATTTATTGTCAAAGCGCTTTAACTAAAAAGGTATAAAATATGGCTTTATTAAACCGAAAGCGACATTTTATTTTGATTTACGTTGTACAGATAATATGAGAAAACATAAAAAAGTCAACATTAATATCTCCTGCTAAAAAGTATCATATTAAACAGCTTTTATTTGACAATGTCATTAAAGCGCAAAAATAGTGTTTCTTAGATTAATCGTCGTTTTCTTAAAAGGGGTGCAGTAAAATAGAGTGATTGTCTCTATCATAGCGCCATATACATGTACATGTATATGATAAATACTTAATAGCTAAATGTCAATGTGGTAAAATCTATGTGTAATATAAATATTCTGAACAATACAAAACATAAATAGTATATATGAAATGTCTGGAAAGCAAACTTTAATATTAAATTAAGCCTTTACACATATGGACGAGAACAAAATACAAGTAAAGATAGTGTACCATAATTTCTTTATTATATTAAGAGCAGAAAAACAAAGCGGTAATGAAACTGTCACGTAGATAATAATAAATAAAATCATTAAATGGAGTGAAATATAATTATATCAAAATACGTATCAATTTACGTATCTTAAAGCATTTCATTATGTTTATAAGTTTGTGAAGAGAAAAGTTTATGATTGTATAATTGAAACCATTAATAATGTTACACAAACTCATTAAATAATGTTTGCAAAATATATTTTACGACAAGTTCTTTAATAGAATAAATAGCTGTAGGTGTACGACAACATATGACAAAATACAATATATATTATTACCTACCATTGAATGTCTATAAAATCTAGACAGATATAAAACGGCAATTTCTTTGGTATAAGTTTTATAGAAAAAATAGAAAAAGGGCTCCCTGACGTCCATTTGACTATACAATGTATTTTTTCAATTATTTGTAGCAGTTTTCCTGTTTCGCGTTATCTTTTTAAGTAGCATTTTATTAACGTCTCCACCGAATAAACATTTATTTAGGTATTAAGGTAAATAATTATAAATTATTTCTTGGGGGGCTGGTGTTTTAATTTGTTTTTGTTGTTGTTTTGTTTTGTTGTTATTGTTTTTCATCATCCGAACGTTAAAATAACTAATCCAACATTGTATTATCTTGTTTACATGAAGAAAACATTAACTGAGTAATTATAAAATTATGTCGTTTACATAGCTACGGAGCATAAATAACTGGATATTTTGTGTATATTCACAGACTCCATTGTCACAATTTTGTCATTTGTTACATCGAAATGTTATCATCCGTGTCTACCTAACAACCAAAGTAATACTGTATGCATATATTATTTCATTTGTCAGAATTATATACACATATAAACAAATAAGATGATTTAAATGATGGACAAGCTGTCACAAGTGTGATGCATTATACGAAGTAACACGAAACTTGTCACAAAACAATGTCCTCGCTAAAATTGATTAAATCACAGACCCAAGACAAAATGTGAAGATAATCATTATGGATTTAGTGTTAAATAATTGATAAAGGAGAAGAAGTTGATAACTAAAGCCTACTCTCCTTAATATCACATATTTATCAGCAAAATCAGATCATCATTCCACTCAAAATGGTCGATTACAACAACATACGCCGCGTTTGAAATCCTTTGACAAATAAACGAGAAGATCATGGATATGTTTTACACAAATTTGGCCATCAACATGGGAAATTTCCTCTTATAACTTAGTTAAACGTTCAATATTTTAAAATGATAAATAAACCAGCATAGATAGTGTATATACTTCTGACATAAATCAAACATAAACAGTATCTTCTAGCTTCATATATAGATTTATCCGCTATAGGCATAGTTTTGGTTTTTTGTTTTGTTTTTTGTTTGGAAACACTAGTTTAACATTTAATTTGCACTAGCCTATCCAAGCGTTGCCATGATAAAGATATGTACATAACATAAACAGTGTTAATCGCTATAAGTTGCCCTTGACTTTTTGACATTTTGAAATTTTTAACTTGTGTCATGCGTATTTCAAAAGGTATTCACTGTGTTTCATACTTAATGTTTTGTTCAGCTTTTACATATCATGTAACATTTTCTGCTTTGTGTTTTCTTTCTTTCCTCACAATTATCATAACAGACAATGATCGAAATTAACCAATTAGTGCGTCCAACAACTTGTTGGAAAGGCCTGTATTCAGTGTTATTAACCATGTGCTTCTCGAATTAAGAACAGAGTCCACACTAACATAGACAAATACTTAAATAAATACATAAAATAATTTTGATGAATTCATGTTGCTTTGATCATTGCTGTTCTCACTGCAAAACATGTAAACTAATACAGGAGCGTCTGACAACTAAGGCACAATTCTTATCTTATGAAACAAGATACAAGATCTTTTTTACAGATAAATACTAGTCTTATATTGCTTATCAATTAAAGTATTACTTTAACCTTGCTTCACGCGAAACAACAAAAACAACAAAATGGAAATAATTTCAATATTCATTTTAGCTTTTGTCGAATTCATTTCATGTCTATAATAAAAGCCCCGAAAGTTGTGAATACATTTCCGTATTTCCCCTTAAAAACATTTTGTCAATTCATTGTTTACTTGTTCAGAAATACCATGTAAACTGTACATATATACGTACATAATGTATAATGTAAAATGTTCAGAGTTAGGGCTTTAATTATTGCATTATTGAAACAATAAATGAGAAAACATGATTAACTATACTTATGTACCATTACAGTTAATTTCTGTAAATGATTACTAATGAAACAATACAAATATGTTTTTATAAAGTCATCAGGAAAATCATAACATAAAACAAACCTTGGGAACAACATTAACAGATGAAGCCTATGTAATGTAAAATGACAAATCACTTCGTCTTCAACCTCTTTGTTATACATGTATATGTATATATTTTACTCTTTTAACTGTATTTCTTTAACCGTTTTCTATTAGTTCCTGATAACGGTTTTAAACTGTGCTGAATGATATACGATGACAATAAATTGTTTTGCAGAGGACATTTTGATGAAGGTCAAATCATTATTGCATTGCAAATATAATGGGTCAGAACCAAATTGAATGTAGAAAAACATGGTAAATGAATAATAATCTTAACTTTTAAACATACGTAACATCATTTGCCTTCTTCCTGAATCAAGCACAAAACCCACACTAACAAAGAAAAATACTTTAAAGACATACAATATGATGAATTCAAACTGCTTTGATCATTACCGTTCCCACTGCAAAACATATAAACTAATACAGGAGCGTCTAAAAATTAACGCATTTTTTGACCAAACCCTTCATATAAAAAAAATGCATAATAACGCAGATGTCTTTCTTAGGCTTTGATGTTTGTCTTATAATATAAAGCACATACATATTTTCTTAGCGGCAAATGATACACTGTTATGACAAAAGTCAAACCGATGAGAATATCATCTAAGTCCATCGAAAATGGAAGAAAGCGATCTGCATATAAATTGAAAATATCATTTACATTGCATTGATGTGTACTTTTACTTCTGACCTTAATGTCTTTCAGGATATACACAAGCTTATGAAATTCGCCAATGTTGCCAATTCAGTGTGAGCGATATATCTTACTTTGATAAAATAATGTGAAGAAATGATGAATTGTGGTTGCTATTACCCAAAACGTTTAGTACATTTAAAGCTTAGATTTAAAACTCTAACACTCCTCGTGATTTTGTCACTTTACTCAAAGAAGAAGAAAAAACGGTGTTAAACTGCCAATAAATACTGGTTAGGGACTACTTGTATATGGACCTATTATGTTTTCTCCCTCGATTATATAGTTTACAAAAGCCTTTTAAAGCAACAATAATAACGCATTTTATTGATATTTTCGTTTTTATAATGTTTTCTTTTCATATATTGCTGAAATAATATCTCACATACACTAACGCCACTGGTTTGATCTCTATCGGTTGATATTGTTTTTGACAAAACGGCGCCAATCCGTTAGCAGCGTAAGGACGTCATCCTAAGAATACAACTAATTCATAAAGGCGCTATAATGACATCATTGATTTTATTTCGTTTGTTAATTAATCACTATATCTTAACGACAGTAGAGTGCAAAGTCGAACAGCGTCATGAGACAATCGGCACCGGAAGTAATCTCCGCTTAAAAAAGCGTTGGTAATACCCTTTAATTTGTCATGTTCAGCCTTCGTGGTCAGTTCCTACGCATCAAAACTTCTTACCGGTGTTAAATAGCCGATAAAAACCGCTGATACCGATATTAGTTCTTAAATGATGCTCAAATATTTGTTATTATGCAATTTAATGTATGTGCCTTTACATAGTTGCACAATTAAAGAGTCGCATGAAAAAAGTGATAAAATAATAATAAAAAAACATGAACAAAGAAGAATTAATTCAATACATGAAAGGCAGACAGGAAAAATTAAACAAACACATATTTGTAATACTTCATATTAATACATGAAAACAAAGATCAACACAAAAGGGTGTCTTCAATGAAGGCATCTCCCAAATAATTCCGGCAACACAGGAGTAAAGACAAGAAAACCAGCGAACAGAAAATCGAATGGTTTGCACTCATTATAAGATGCACCTTTAACTATGAAAATATTTCCCTCTTGACTCTTACGTTGCTGTTGTGAGATATCACTTTTACAGAAAATTACTGAACAAACAAGTACAATATATTCTAGCTGTAGATAGTTGTAATATACTAAGTCATTATGGAAAATTGAATGTTTCTATATTTAATAATCTTCC